ATAATTCCTAAAAAAATATTTGGTGTTTGCTGAAGATACAGGGAATATTCTAGATATTCTAGTTGGATATTCTAGTTAGTGAACATAGTGTTCTTCTGTTACCTTTTCAAACAAATAAAAGTTCAATTAAAGAGAAAATGAAAGTTATTTGGTATTAATAATAACACAAACGTGGGCCAGCTGTGGTTTCAGTGTTCTATTTTAAGTGCAGTTTGATTTTGTACATGTACAAAAAAGGTGGTTGTTCAAGGGATTTTTAGTAAAGAGAATGGTTCTATTTAGAACCACAAACTCTGTACAGAACCATTTCATGCTTAAATAGTTCTTTGCATGGTGAAAGAGTTCTTCAGATTGAAGGAGAATGTGTTGTATATGGTTCTATGTAGCACTGAAAAGGGTTCTTCTATTGTTACAAGCTTGACATCATAACAATAGTAAAACCCTTTTTGGTGCTCTATAGAGCCATTTACAGCACATTCACGATCAGTCTGAAGAACATATCACCATGCAAAGAACTATTTATGCATAAAACGGTTCTATATAGAACACATTATAGAACCTTTCGATTTGATAAAGAACCTTCTTTTTTAAGAGTGTAGGTTTAAGTATCAAGCTACACTTTATGCCCAGAAGTTTGTAGACCTTCTTATTCAGAGTTTCTTCTGAAATCAAGGATGTTAATAGGGAGTTTGTTCTCTTCTGAGAAGGCTTTACACAAGCTGTTAGAATATTGCAGTGAGCATCTGATTGCATTCAGCCACAAGATCATCAGTGAGGTCAGGTACTGATGATGGATGATTAGTTCTGGATCACTCCAGCTCATCCCAAAGGTATTAGATGAGCTCCATCACTCTAAGGAACACAGTTCCACTGCTGCACAGCCCAATGATGGAGGGGCTTTATACCCTTCTAACTGATGCGTGGCATTGGACATAGTGACCCTACGCTCATGTGCTGCTGCTCCAGAGTGTCCCATTGTATTGATCAGTGCTTTTCTCTGGAGATTATACAAACTGAGTTTGCACAATGGAGTGTCTCAGCAATCAGTGCACCTTAAAGTAGTTCATTTCACTGATTAGGTATCTGGATACTTTTGGACATATAGTGTATATTTTGAGTGCACTCGGTAGGAAATGTAGTCTTATTCTGTGGGTCAATCTGTGTTTACTATCTGGTAGTTGTAGCTCATAATTTGAGTAGCAAAGTGAATGAATTTCTATGGAAGTGATGGCAAGAAAGGATAGTAGGGTTGGGATAGAGGATATAGAGCAAATAAGTTCATGAGGGCCAGTACTGTCTTCAGTGTTATCAGCAGAGTAGCCAGTTGCGCTAAGGCAGGAGAAAAGACCATCATAAGTTCTCCCTGCAGATGCTTGCTGTTCATTTCAAGCGTGGCTCTTTGTCCTGCCTTCTGCTCAATGACTGCTGGGATAGGCTCCGGAACCCCTCCCATGACCCAGAAGGATAAGTGGCTTACAAATATGTGTGTGTGCTGTTTGTTGAAAAAATTCAAGGAGTTTCAAAATCAATAGGTTTTCTATGGGAGAATGGAGGGATGAAAGAAAGAAGAGCAGTAATAGTACTTTGTCTTATTGCATCCCTAAGTCTTGCTCTTACCGTAGGCTGGAAAAGCAAAATGATTACTGCTCCGGCCACCTCAGCGAGGAAGACAATGAGGATAATGATGAAGAACTGAAAGAACATGTGAAGGAAATGACATGTTAAATAGAGCAATGTTTAGTACCTGGGTTTTAAACCCATTGAATCTCAGTAAATTATCATTACATTAGCCGTGACTGTTAAGAGCTGGTCTTTCAATTCATGCCAAAACCAACCTCTACGAAAGGGCTAATTTCTGCTAGTGCCTATATGGAATGCTAGTCGTAGGTTAGCACTAGGCTAACTGTGATTCATGTGAATTTGTTTTGGCCAGTCTAGATTACATACAGACATTTAGAGCTTGTTAAAGATGTTCCATGTTTTATTATTATTTATTATGTTATATTATTATATTATTATATTATTTATTATGTTTTAACTATGAAACATGCATCAACATATTGTGGCATTGGCTCCCATGATGCCTTGTGCGTGCTTAACTGGTCTGTATTTAGTTTTTAAAACAGTCATTAAAGGTTTTCATTTGTATATTTAAATATGTGATGCGAGGCTTAAAAAGCATGTTCTCTCCATTTGGAAATAAGAGCAAAACTTTCTCTTTTATTCTGCTTGCCGTGTCAGTTCTAAATGAAGCCTAGTCATAGGCACAAACTTTGAGTTATCCAGACTACTTCTGTGCACACCCTATGCTACAATACATCTGATACACTATATGGATAAACGTTTTGGAACACACCTCTTAATTCGGGTGTTCCATTCGGTCTCATTGCCACAGGTGTATAAAAATAAGCACCTAGCCATGCAGTATGCCTTTACAAACATTTGTGAAAGAATGGGTCATTTTACAGAGCTCATTGAATTTGTGCATGGTATTATAATAGGATGCCACTGTTGCAGCAAGTCAGTTAGCAAAATTTCGCTCCTCCTAGTTATTCCACAATCAGTCAGTTACAAAAGCAGAAGTGTTTAGAAACCACAGCAACTGAGACACAAAGTGGCAGACCACATAAAGTTACAGAGTGGGGCATAAAAAGTTGCCGACTCTGCTGACTCAACTACTACAGAGATCCATACCTCCTCTGGCATTAACATCAGCACAGAAACTGTGCGTTGGGAGTTACATGACATGGGTTTCCATGGACGAGCAGCTGCATGCAAGCCTCACATCACCGAGCACAGTGCCAAGCGTCACATAGAGTAGTGTAAAGCACGCTGCCACTGGACTCTGGAGCATTGGAAATGTATTCTGTGCAGTGACAAATCACGCTTCACTGTCTGGCAGTCTGATGGACGAGTCTGGGTTTGGCGAATGTCAGGAGAACATTACCTGCCTGACTGCATTTTACCAACTGTAAAGTTTGGTGGAGGAGGGATAATGCTGTGGGGTTGTTTTCAGGGTTGGCCTAGACCCCTTAGTTCCAATGAAGGGAAATTTAAATGCTTCAGCAGACCAACACATTTTGGACAACTGTATGCTTCCGATTTTGTGTGAACACTTTGGGGAAGACCCTTTTATGTTCCAGCATGACTGAGCCCCAGTGCACAATGCAAGGTCCATAAAGGCATGGTTGGGTGAGTTTGATGTGGAAGAACTCAACTGGCCCTCACAGAGCCCTGACCTCAACCCCATCGATGAATGAACGTGAACAGAGATTGCAAGCCAGGCAAAAATTTCCACAGACACACAGACACAGCTCTTATAGCTGCAATGGGGGACCAACTCCATATTAATGCCTATGGATCTGGCTGTATCTACCTAGATCCCACAAAACAAATAAATTCCACTGGAATTTATAAATTTAAGGCTTTAAATATAATGAGTATGATGATTGTAACAAATTAAACTGACAAATTATTCAGCCTTCTCAGGAGGTTCATCACTGTCAACTTTATATATAAAAATATAGAAGACGCATATAGGTTCACTGATTGTTTTGGACAGCAAAAATACTTTTACTACAGTCAAGTCCAAAAATTTTTGGATGTTGACAAAGTTATTGTTATTTTAGCTGTCTACCACAGCGTACTGAAATTAAACATGACAAGTATGAAAATCATTGTAATTCCTACACTGTTCACCCAATTTGGATGTAAATACCCTCAAATCAAAGCTGAAAGGATACACGCTGAGCTCAGTGTTCAATTTCAACTCTACAGTCTAATGACCAGGGTCAAAGGTCATGGTCACTTACTGTCAGCAGCATACACTTGCTTTCGCATAAGGCTCCACAGCAGCCCAGAAAGCCCATAATGGCCAGGACAGCCCCTACTGCGATCAGCAGGTAGCCCACGTTGCCCACCTGTGCCAACGCAGGGGGAGAGTCTTTAATGTGATCTAAGACAGTTCGCAGATACTTGCTGTTCATTTCAACCAAAATCCCGACAGACACAGCCACTCCACCAGCCAGCTAGACAGAGACAGGCCAAAAACAGAAAAAACATATTAGAAGGCAGAAGTGAAATAGAGAAGAAACAGTGCTCCACAAAGTTGAGCAAATGCTGACAAATAGAATGAAACATCGCTATCGAAATCCCCTTAACTGTGGTAAAATCACACAACACATGACTTCAAGAGGCTAAAACGTTTATAAAATAGTGAGCAAATACAATATGATCAACCAATATTCAGGGCATCGTTTCATTTATTATTAGTAATAATCACAATAGACAGCTGTTCTACCAAGCAATTTAGTCCATTGACAATGGGTTGCAAGCACATTTCCAGAAAGGAAATCTATTTGTTTAACTTTTTATACAAGTTTAACTCTTCTTTCAAAGTAATGTTAATCACAAAGCACAACTATATGTATATAGCACTCATTATCTAACAAATATATCTCAAGATAATGCTAAAAATACAGCAATAATGCTGGTACATAAGGCATCACCCAGCATTAGTCTCAGGTCAAACTACACTCACTAGAGCCTTCCATTATATGAGGTTTACACCAAAAGAGATATACAAGGTTTCTGAGTTATCTGGATAGCTTAAGCCAAAACTCAAGCTTGCCCAATAGCATATTCTCACTTTGGGTTTAAGATATCCAGCTTTAGTGAGACATGCCTTCTGGAATAGTGCTGGGCAATATGCTTTCTACACAAGGGATCATCAATACGGCAAAAAAAATAACATTGTAATACTTCAACACATTTTCTTGATACACAATATGCATTCTCTTTGGTGTCATTTTAAGTGAAGAAAACTGAACAAACAGTCCAGAGTAGCAGCACTCTGGAAGCATGAGGTAGCATTATATACTTTATTGATTGAATTTAGATAACACTTTATTTTCAGTGGTCTTTTTTAGATGAAATAAACACTCAACAGACCCTCAGTAACACACCAACAACACATTAATGGTGTAGCAGCAGTGAATACATTCAGTAGATTATCAAGATACTTTTTATGAACTGTGTAAATAAAATTAGTTTACAATCTGCTAAATTCTGTTGTAGTTTTATTTTATTTGGAGTGTCCAAGTTCGTATCTGTAGATGTTTAACCTGAGAGGTCACTGAACATGTAACAGGTCTCATAGAGACCATCTCAACATCCTCAACAAGCTGTTATAGACCTGCTGCTGACACTATTCTGTAACTGGAGCTTAACTAGATTAGGTTTTGGTTAAGGTTAGGGTTAGGATTAGGGTCAGGGCTAGGTTTGGTTAGGTTAGGTTTTGCGTAATAGAAGTAACATATAAAGTCTACTTAATGTAACATTTCAACAGTACATCTACTTAATGTAAGTAATGTATCAACAGTACATCTTCAAGATATTTTCCTCAATGTATTCAGATGCTTCACTATTGCTATTTCACTGATATGTCGTTGATGCGTTACTGATACTCTATTAAGAGTTTATTAATCATCTACAAAAAGTTACTCAAAATAAAGTGTTACCGAATTAATAACACCCAGTAAAAAGGTTACATATAGTACTGTAAAAGAGTTCGAATCATAACGTAGTGGAACGCTTCTTGGTGCTATGTAGAACCATTTTTTTAAAAGGGTTCTTTAAAGAACAACTGGTTTTCCATCATAGAGGAGAACTATTTAACCATACAAAGAACCATTTACACATTTCAATGTTTTTGAATGTTCATGGTTTTATATAGAACCATTGCCTGTACTAAAGAACCCTTGAAGAACCATTTTAAAGGTGTACCATGTATCTGGATCTGTCTTGGTCTTTAGTACACAGAAAATGAGTACAAGCCTAAAAAGACCTTGAGCACTCTTGAGATAAAGATAATTGAACTGTACTATCATCTGTATCAGTATCTTCTAATATGAATTAATTGGGCTAACACTATTCAAATACCCTTCAGCTCTGTAGATCTAGTGACAAAATTAGCAAAATAGATCTCATGTGACTAAGTTAGCACAGTGTCTATAGTTCTGGAATTATAATCAGCATTTTTATTGTGTAAAAGAAGTAAAGAAAACTGTTACTTACAAATATCACACCATTGAAGACACACATAATTACTTTCAGGATCCACATCTTGATGGTGTTTTGTTTTCCCCAGTTATTCCTGAAAGAGACCTACAGCTGGTATTCAAAACACACTGAAAGAAACTGAACTATGTCAAGTCCCCCTCGTGCAGTGCAGATACACACGAAGATCCAGCCACTTCCTCATAGACTTTTTTATGCTGTCATGCAATGTAATGAAATGAATAATACAAACCATGACACAAAGATGCACATAAACGCACGTACACTTGTGTATGTTTGTTTGTATGTATGTATGTATGTATTTATGTATGCATGCATATATATGAAAACATGCACCCATAAGCCCACCTCACAAGCAAATAGTAAAAAGTTACATCAGACAGTATTTAAAGCTTAGTCATTGGTGGCTGAGAAGTGGTTTTAGTGTTGTTTCCTTCCACAAACGTACCTTAAGCCTCTTCCGTCAACTTCTGAAAAAAGAATAACAGAAACATAAGTGTGTCAAGTCTGAGCGTTTCTCCTGTGGATTTTTTCACCAAAAGCACAAATTCCAGCTTTACGTGTCAAGACAAAGTTCAAAATGCCCTTAAGGCACAGTAGTAGGATGGCCAAGTCACAGACGTTTACACTGAGTTGCCTCTTTATTAGGCACACCTACTATATGTCCAAAAGGATCCCATCACTCCTGCTAATTAGTGAGTTCAGCTACTTTGAGGTGCACCATTACTAACACTGGTGTTCACACAGCTTGTATAATCTCCAGAGAAAAGCACTGCCAGTAGAATGGGATACTCTAGTGCAGCCACACATGCCATCTCCATGCCCAATGCCAAGTGTCTGCTAGAGGGGTATAAAACCCCTAGCATATAGTCTTCTCTGGAGTGATGGAGCTCCATCCAAAATCTTTGGGATGAGCTGGAGTGATCCAGAACAAATCACCCAACGTCAGTACCTGACCACATTAATGCTCATGTGACTAAATTCAATCAAATACTCACAGCAATGTTCCAACATCTCTATTGTAAAGCCTTCCCAGAAGAGCAGAGGCTGTTACTGCAACAAAGGGCGACAAATTACTTATTAATACCCTTGACTACAGAAGAAACTTTGGATGAGCAAGAGTCTGCAAGCTTCTTCTCGCAACTTCCTTGGGGATTAATAATGTTTCTGTGGATATTTTTAATTAGCTAATACATTGGGTCCGGTATTTTAGAGTGGGAAAAATGCTTAAATGTGCGGTGATTGGCTGCTCCAGGACCAGGACTGAGAAATGATGATCTAATGGCTTAACACGCTAAAACGTTAGGTTCAAAATCCAGTCCTCAGCGCCCCCTTGTGGTAATTTATTAATATATTCCAGGATTTACAGTTTGCTAATTTTCTGGAGTCTGGTGAGAGGTCAAAGAACTAGGGGAGAGTTTGTTACTGAAGCCATAGTTGGGAAATGATGCAAGAAACTAGAAGGAAAGAAATCAAATAAAACTGACAGAAAAGAGGTGCAGAAACAGGTAGCCTTATTGTTGGGGCATTCCGGCCTAAGCTGCTGTTTAATATGTAATTCATCATGTTGTGCAGTATTCTGTAGTGCAGTACGCCACCTCTCATCCCCATTGGTTAGGCAGAATTCATGATTTTGTCATTTTCATGTTTACTTCCATCTGTGTTCTTTCACTACAATACCCAGCATGCATTATGCAAATACATAACACAATCATTGAGAATACCTATGGCTCTTAACAAATCCTCACTACTGCCCCTGACCTGGAGGCTTATAAATACACTCTGTGAGCATAGCTAGCATTATTGATACAGCAACTCAAACTCAAAGTTTTTTCTTTGTTAAGGAATAATTCAGCCAGCGAGCAAATAAATAAATAAATGAAGAACAAGCATCCATACCAAGGCACTTATCTTCTCTACTATTTTCAACTTCCTGTCTTTAAACAGGAAATCTTACTTTAGAGACTGCTCCGTAAACTGATGTAAGTGGCATGTAAGCATGTTTACTACAGATGTAGCCATGGTTAAACTGAGCATTTTGGCCAGTGTGGTACGTAGTCTAGACCCTCTTTCTACTAAAGTAAATTGCCTGCAGCTGTTTAGAGATAATTCTGTCACTGCTAGTTTAAATTCGATCTCTTGGGCCCAGTAGACAAGAAAGCAGTCATGACAAAAAAACAGACAAGCACCTTCAAAAATCTTTAATTTAACTTCACACGACACAAACATTTCCTTACAGTTCAATAGTGACATAAACAATACAAATATGTGCAGTACATTCTATCACATGAAAAAGTCTAATCAAGAAAGTTTTACAAGAAAAGTAAAGCGCATTGCAAGTCTATCATGCAGTAATGCACTCCACTTAATCTTGCCTTGGGTTCTTTAAAATACATACAGAAAGACCTCCGGCAGAAATAACCTTATATTCTTCATTCTCTGCATTTACAAAAAGAAAAAAGTAATAATTCAGCTGTGTTGACCTAATCAACTTGAAAATGCAGTAGGTGGGTGATTTATTTTAACTTCCAGACTTCAAGACTTCCAGACTTTGTGTTACTAAAATACTGTAAGACTCTGTAATGATGTACTGTAGCTATATAGCCCATCATTTCCAGTAATAGAACCGGTCAAGGCATTTTGCTTTCATCATTGGTTAATCCAAAAAATGTACGTTTGGAATAAAGACCAGACTGGAGTCAAAACAGTGTGTGTTGGCACCATGTTAGCAACGTTATTTTAAATAAGGTACTTCATCAAACAGTGCTAGTGCTGCTAATGAGTTCTCATTTGCTCTCATTCATCAGTAGCCACATTGGAATGTTTGGGTGAAGCACCTCCAGCAGGTGGTGGTATCAGTGAACTGAAAAAGTAATGCATTGAGCTTATTTGATTCAAATGTGTACATCCACATATGTCTATGTATCAACACAGTCTTTACATTTATTTACATTTGGCAGCAACTGTGGTGATGTAGTATATTTTATTCATATGGAAGTGAGGGATGTGCACTTTTGAATCAAGTAAATTCAGTGCATTATTTTTTCAGTGTAGTACAGTGATGAAGTGCACAGGTCTTGGTGCAGTCCCAGCCTTTGAAGTTATTTTCCCACGTTTTTGTACAGGACCATAGAGACAACCATTGCAGCAATCTGGGAAATAAGAGAATAAGAGACAAAGCAGGAAGTGAGGATTAAAGAGGATTTTCGACAAGTAATAACACAGTTTTCATTTCAATGCTATATATAGTATAAAGCAGGCATCTGGGATTTTTTTTTATATTGGGCAGTAAGTGTCAGTAATTCCACACCTGGGCACCAGAGGTCTCTCTCTCCTGAGTACTAGCCCTGCTTCCAGGATCAAGCCACCTGCACCTCTTTACTTCTCTAATTAGTCTCACCTTAAAGACTCCCCAAATGCAGCCAGTCAATGTGAAGTATTGCCAGTTCCTGTGGGTCTAACTACTGAGTGGTTGTTTTGTTTGACCCTCTGGTGTTTGGAACCTCTGTCTGACTTTTTGGTCTTTTGTCCTTTTTTGCATTGTCTGCCTGAGTCATTGGACTGGTTTACTGTTATGACCTTTGTCCTCTGCCTTTTTTACTATGAGCGTCGGATTGCCGTTGTTAATAAACCAGCAAATGGATCCCTCACAACTTCACAAGTTTATGTTGTCACAGTAAGCTTGTATTTTCTCAGAAAACACATAAATACATATAGTCGTACTGCAATAAGTAGTGATTGTATGCATGTTATTGTGGTCCTTTAACCATTTCCAAACGTCTCCTCATCACCGCCCTTTATTAATTTTGCTCATCATCCAACACCTGGTTTGGCTAATCAGTGCTTCATTATATTAAATCAGATGTGCTGCTGATGGAATCAAATAAATCCATGTGATGTCTAAGGACACTGAGGAGAAATCTGGAACCAAATTTTGATCTTTAAATTAGCTCACAAAATATTAACTACTTTTTTTTTCAAAATAAGAAAATCTTGTTACTGTTTTACTGTATTTGTGTTTATATGCTTTAGTCTGATGTTACAATGTGGTGATTTTACAAGCAAAATTATGCTCTCTCCCTAAGACCTTTGCACATTTGGGCGCCCCTGGTCAAATTACATGCTTTGTTGAATTTAACAGCATTAACTACATTGGGAAAAAATACATAAATGCGTGTGGCCTGTTCAAAAGTTATGACACACTTAATATGTTACTTTTTATATTTTTCCCATATTTTAAACTCAAATAAACAGAAATTGCGCATTAAAATGTGAAAAAAAAACGTTTGTGGAGTGTGTAATCTTATTTTCACTTTCAAATCAACAAAACATGTCATTTGACCAGGTCAGTGCAAACTTTTGCAAACACCTGTATAGTCTGAGTGTGTATTGGTGATCTGAGGTCAAAGGTCAGAATGTGATACCTCCAAAGCAGCGATGCCAATAGCCACTCCCCCCAGCACAGCAGCATTGTCCTCCAGCAGTTGCACAAAAGAATTGAAACAGCCTCGCACTCCCTGCAAAAAAATGGAGAATGTTTGTACAGGAGTGCCCAAACTTTTTGTCTTGGGAGGCCAAAATGAAATGTTTGTGACGGGCCGGGGACCAAAAAGACTAGAACAGTACACAAATAGTAGGTGGGGTATAACTCTAATCTTTTAAAATGTCATTTTATAACATTTCATTATATTTTGCTACTAAAAGTACTTAAAAGTACCATCTTTAAAGAAGTGATCTGGACATAAAGAGTAGGAAAATAAGTTTTTTTTCCATCACTGGATGAAGAGGTACAGAAATTAGGCAACTTTTGGGTGGGTCAAGTAAAATATCATTGCAGACCAACTTTAGCCCCACTTATCTATCTATACTGATACATATAACTATCTATACTGATACATATATCTTATTAAATTAATGTAACTGTTTGCAGTTTCACATAATTTTTTACACATATTCCAAATAATGTTAGTCCATTCATCATGAAACGTTCACACAAATCAGCTGGGCATTTTCAGATGTTGCCTAAAATAAAAGGAGGTTTTTACCCATTGTTAAGAGGTTTTAACATGACACTGACAGTTGTCTGTTTTCTATTTTGTTTTTTAAACCAGCAATATTCATTAAGATTATGACTGAGATTGTGATCAGGCCACTGGCAACTACTGTCCTGCACTGATTCCACACCTCTATCTCACCCCGTTAAACTCAACATCTAACTCTTAATGATGATGAGTTGGGCACTGACTGCGGTCAGACTATGATAAGTCAGTAAGGCTGAATCAGAAGCGAGTACTAACGACTTATATTCACTTATTAACATGTATTTAAGTAAAACATTTGATGGATTTGTATATTCATTTGAATATGTTCAAATGCTAATAATAGGTTTAAGTTCATTCTGTTCTGTCCTTTCATTTTGTACCAAAAGGACCCCAGAAAGAGAAGAACAGAGCCTAACAAACTTCAGTTCCTATGCTGATAGATGCCAGATGTACTAAGAAGTTCCAATTCCACTTAAAGAGGTTTAAGATCTCTTTTTCGCTCCTGTTCAGATTTTTATTTAGCTGCTGTTACTTCTGCTTGAGCCCTTCATTCATTTAAATAAGATCACTTTTACTGGTGTGTGAGTTTAGACTACTCTCCACATCTTTGGGCTGAATTCAGTACAGACAAGTTACACAGTGCAGTATTTTCAGGCATTTTGATTAAGATCTGACTGTAAAAGAGTACCTGGGCTTCTGCATTTCTCTCAATACACGTTCCATTTGAGCGGCAACAGCTCTCAGGGTAACGCGAGGTGGTCGTTTGAAACGGGGATCCAGTGAAGTCAGTGTAGTTGTTGTATCCACAGCATGTCAGCTGTAAGGACACACATGCACAGAGTGAGGCACAGTTATTTACCTAAATAATAACAGGAAATATGTCTACAAACATTATTATTACATACCTGAGACATAGTTTCGTTCATCACTGTTGTAAAGGCGTCATCACTTCCATAGTCCTTTTTGATAAGATCAACAACTTCTTGATTCAGCTTCTGCAACACTTCATTTGCCTGAGAGAGAGAGAGAGAGAGAGAGAGAGAGAGAGAGAGAGATGGAGTGAGACAGGTTTGATTAATCTCTTCTTGTTCAATTTCATATCTTTTGTGCTTTTCTGTGTCTAACCAGCAGAGGGGGCTCTGTGCTAACTGTTAAATAAGTTCAGTTCAGATTAATGAGTCGATTCTTTCGAAGCTCGTCAATGAATCAAGCGCATGTCATAACGATTCATGATAACGGTATTACCTGCAAATTACACACAGGAATACCAAATTAAGACATATTTTAGCAAATTATTGTTCTAGTTTTATCATCAGTCTTCAGCCTATAACATGAACGTGACCTTGGCCCAGGCGCTACAAAAAATGATTCAGTTAGACTGAATCGGTTCGACAAATTTGAAAAGAGCTGATTTGAAAAGGTTGGTTTGTTCCCAAGTTGAACATCGCTAATTAACACAAACCAGGAATGACAGATTGGTGTTGATGGAAAATGAAGTTGTTTTCGAGATAATTCCTAAAAATATTTGGTGTTTTGCTGAAGATACAGGGAATATTCTAGATATTCTAGTTAGATATTCTAGTTAGTGAACATAGTGTTCTTCTGTTACCTTTTCAATTAAAGAGGAAATGAAAGTTATTTGGTATTAATAATAACACAAACGTGGGCCGGCTGTGGTTTCAGTGTTCTATTTTAAGTGCAGTTTGATTTTGTACATGTGCAAAAAAAGGTAGTTGTTCAAGGGATCTTTAGTAAAGAGAATGGTTCTATTTAGAACCACAAGCTCTGTACAAAACCATATCTTGCTTAAATAGTTCTTTGCATGGTGAAAGAGTTCTTCAGATTGAAGGAGAATGTGTTGTATATGGTTCTATGTAGCACTGAAAAGGGTTCTTCTATTGTTACAAGCTTGACATCATAACAATAGTAAAACCCTTTTTGGTGCTCTATAGAGCCATTTACAGCACATTCACGATCAGTCTGAAGAACATATCACCATGCAAAGAACTATTCATGCATAAAACGGTTCTATATAGAACACATATAGAACCTTTCGATTTGATAAAGAACCTTCTTTTTTAAGAGTGTAGGTTTAAGTATCAAGCTACACTTTATGCCCAGAAGTTTGTAGACCTTCTTATTCAGAGTTTCTTCTGAAATCAAGGATGTTAATAGGGAGTTTGTTCCCCTTTGCTGCAGTAACAGCCTCTACTCTTCTGAGAAGGCTTTACACAAGCTGTTAGAATATTGCAGTGAGCATCTGATTGCATTCAGCCACAAGATCATCAGTAAGGTCAGGTACTGATGATGGATGATTAGTTCTGGATCACTCCAGCTCATCCCAAAGGTATTAGATGAGCTCCATCACTCTAAGGAACACAGTTCCACCGCTGCACAGCCCAATGATGAAGGGGCTTTATACCCTTCTAACTGATAGTGACCCTACGCTCATGTGCTGCTGCTCCAGAGTGTCCCATTCTATTGATCAGTGCTTTTCTCTAGAGATTATACAAACTGAGTTTGCACAATGGAGTGTCTCAGCAATCAGTGCACCTTAAAGTAGTTCATTTCACTGATTAGGTATCTGGATACTTTTGGACATATAGTGTATATTTTGAGTGCACTCGGTAGGAAATGTAGTCTTATTCTGTGGGTCAATCTGTGTTTACTATCTGGTAGTTGTAGCTCATAATTTGAGTAGCAAAGTGAATGAATTTCTATGGAAGTGATGGCAAGAAAGGATAGTAGGGTTGGATAGAGGATATAGAGCAAATAAGTTCATGAGGGTCAGTACTGTCTTCAGTGTTATCAGCAGAGTAGCCAGTTGCACTAAGGCAGGAGAAAAGACCATCATAAGTTCTCCCTGCAGATGCTTGCTGTTCATTTCAAGTGTGGCTCTTTGTCCTGTCTTCTGCTCAATGACTGCTGGGATAGGCTCCAGAACCCCCCATGACCCAGAAGGATAAGTGGCTTACAAATATGTGTGTGTGCTGTTTTCTATGGGAGAATGAAGGGATGAAAGAAAGAAGAGCAATAATAGTACCTTGTCCTATTGCATCCTTAAGTCTTGCTCTTACCGTAGGCTTGAAAAGCAAAATGATTACTGCTCCGGCCACCTCAGCGAGGAAGACAATGAGGATAATGATGAAGAACTGAAAGAACATGTGAAGGAAATGACATGTTAAATAGAGCAATGTTTAGTACCTGGGTTTTAAACCCATTGAATCTCAGTAAATTATCATTCATGCCAAAACCAACCTCTGCGAAAAGGCTAATTTCTGCTAGTGCCTATATGGAATCCTAGTCGTAGGTTAGCACTAGGCTAACTGTGATTCATGTGAATTTGTTTTGGCCAGTCTAGATTACATACAGGCATTTAGAGCTTGTTAAAGACGTTCCATGTTTTATTTTAACTATGAAACACGCATCAACATATTGTGGCATTGGCTCCCATGATGCCTTGTGCATGCTTAACTGGTCTGTATTTAGTTTTTAAAACAGTCATTAAAGGTTTTCATTTGTATATTTAAATATGTGATGCGAGGCTTAAAAAGCATGTTCTCTCCATTTGGAAATAAGAGCAAAACTTTCTCTTTTATTCTGCTTGCTGTGTCAGTTCTAAATGAAGCCTAGTCATAGGCACAAACTTTGAGTTATCCAGACTACTTCTGTGCACACCCTATGCTACAATACATCTGATACACTATATGGACAAAAGTTTTGGAACACACCTCTTAATTCGGGTGTTCCATTCGGTCTCATTGCCACAGGTGTATAAAAATAAGCACCTAGCCATGCAGTATGCCTTTACAAACATTTGTGAAAGAATGGGTCATTTTACAGAACTCATTGAATTTGTGCATGGTATTATAATAGGATGCCACTGTTGCAGCAAGTCAGTTAGCAAAATTTCATCCCTCCTAGTTATTCCACAATCAGTCAGTTACAAAAGCAGAAGTGTTTAGGAACCACAGCAACTGAAACACAAAGTGGCAGACCACATAAAGTTACAGAGTGGGTCACTGAGTGTTGAGGCACATAGTGCATAAAAGTTGCCGACTCTGCTGACTCAATTACCACAGAGACCCAAACCTCCTCTGGCATTAACATCAGCACAGAAACTGTGCGTCAGGAGTAACATGACATGGGTTTCCATGGCCGAGCAGCTGCATGCAAGCCTCACATCACCGAGCACAGTGCCAAGCGTCACAGAGCACGCTGCCACTGGACTCTATGACGTATTCTGTGCAGTGACAAATCACGCTTCGCTGTCTGGCAGTCTGATGGACGAGTCTGGGTTTGGCGAATGTCAGGAGAACATTACCTGCCTGACTGCATTTTGCCAACTGTAAAGTTTGGTGGAGGAGGGATAATGCTGTGGGGTTGTTTTCAGGGTTGGCCTAGACCCCTTAGTTCCAATGAAGGGAAATCTAAATGCTTCAGCAGACCAACACATTTTGGACAGTTGTATGCTTCCAACTTTGTGTGAACACTTTGGGGAAGACCCTTTTCTGTTCCAGCATGACTGAGCCCCAGTGCACAATGCAAGGTCCATAAAGGCATGGTTGGGTGAGTTTGATGTGGAAGAACTCAACTGGCCCTCACAGAGCCCTGACCTCAACCCCATTGATGAATGAACGTGAACAGAGATTGCGAGCTAGGCAAAAATTTCCAAAGACACACAGACACAGCTCTTATAGCTGCAATGGGGGACCAACTCCATATTAATGCCTATGGATTTAGAATGGGATGTCATAAAAGCTCCAGTAGGTGTAATGTGTAGGTGTCCCAATACTTTTGTCCATATAGTGTATGTTGCGGGTTTACAGTAAGGAGTCCTGACATTTCCATTTCTAACAACTGATTGAAACGCACTGGTCAGGCTACCACTCATGCTCTGTCAGTGACCTATCAAGGACTTCCAGAAGATCTAGACTGAAAATTGGACCCACTCAATGAAAATCAAAATGTGATTGGTTGATTCCTCTTAATCTAACATTTTAGGCTTTCAGTTCAGCCCCTGAAATCCTAACCAATGGGACAGCCAGCTTGGCTGTATCTACCTAGATGCCACAAAAAAAAAAAAAAAATTCCACTGTTTTATAAATTTAAAGCTTTTGTTTCCAGTCAAACATAAATGAATAAAATGGACAATGAAGTGTTTTTGTATGTGCAGAGTTTAAATATAATGAGTATGATGATTGTAACAAATTAAACTGACAAATTATTCAGCCTTTTCAGGAGGTTCATCACTGTCAACTTTATATATAAAAATATAGAAGACGCATATAGGTTCACTGATTGTTTTGGACAGCAAAAATACTTTTACTACAGTCAAGTCCAAAAATTTTTGGATGTTGACAAAGTTATTGTTATTTTAGCTGTCTACCACAGCGTACTGAAATTAAACATGACAAGTCTGAAAATCATTGTAATTCCTACACTGTTCACCCAATTTGGATGTAAATACCCTCAAATCAAAGCTGAAAGGATACACGCTGAGCTCAGTGTTCAATTTCAACTCTACACTCTAATGACCAGGGTCAAAGGTCATGGTCACTTACTGTCAGCAGCATACACTTGCTTTCGCATAAGGCTCCACAGCAGCCCAGAAAGCCCATAATGGCCAGGACAGCCCCTACTGCGATCAGCAGGTAGCCCACGTTGCCCACCTGCGCCAACGCTGGGGGAGAGTCTTTAATGTGATCTAAGACAATTCGCAGATACTTGCTGCTCATTGCAACCAAAATCCCGACAGACACAGCCACTCCACCAGCCAGCTAGACAGAGACAGGCCAAAAACAGAAAAAAACATATTAGAAGGCAAAAGTGAAATAGAGAAGAAACAGTGCTCCACAAAGTTAAGCAAATGGTGACAAATAGAATGAAACATCGCTATCAAAATCCCCTTAACTGTGGTAAAATCGCACGACACATGACTTCAAGAGGCTAAAAACGTTTATAAAATAGTGAGAAAATACAATATGATCAACCAATATTCAGGGCATCGTTTCATTTATTATTAGTAATAATAGACAGCTGTTCTACCAAGCAATTTAGTCCATTGACAATGGGTTGCAAGCACATTTCCAGAAAGGAAATCTATTTGTTTAACTTTTTATACAGTTTTAACTCTTCTTTCAAAGTAATGTTAATCACAAAGCACAACTATATGTATATAGCACTCATTATCTAACAAATATGTCTCAAAATAATGCTAAAAATACAGCAATAATGCTGGTACAGAAGGCATCCATTATAGGTTTATAACAAAAGAGATATGCAAGATTTTGGAGTTTTCTGGAAAAATCTAAGCCAAAACTCAAGCCTGCCCAATAGGGTGTTCTCACTTTGGGGTAACTGGCTTTACTGGAAATTCCTTCTGGAATTGTGCAGGGCAATATGCTGTCTATACAAGAGATCGATTTGCCGCCGATTCGGCAAAAAAATAACATCACAATACTTCGACACATTTCCTCGGTACACGATATGCATCACAATATTTAGCTTAAAAAATAGTAGTGCCAAATTTTGAAAAATACTTTCAAAAACGTGAATATAGTGATTTTCATTTACTGTTTCACAAACTGCACTGAACTAATTTAATTACACAGGACTAATTATTTTCTCCATGTAATGAAACATGCAGTAGGTTAGTGTTCATTAAGTACTGACAGTATTCACAAATATGCTCACAAGAGCACATTGCGATAATGTAATGTTATCACAATAATCATAAATATCATTATTGTCCACTCCTATTCTGTACAGTACACAGATATTGAACACAACAATGTTGACTCTTAGTTGTAGCGATACTGCAAGATAACAAGACCTTAGTTAACTGCACTAAATGCGGATTGATAAGTGATTTAGACTGGTTTGAAAGTGCAGTTCAACTACAACTGTATCAAAGGAAAGTAAATAAATAGTAAGTTTATTTGAAGTCTTAGTGTAAGTATTTCTGAAAAAGTTGTTTCTCTCTGGTTAGCGTTTACAGTACTGTCTAACATTCTCTTTGGTGTCATTTTAAGTGAAGAAAACTGAACAAACAGTCCAGAGTAGCAGCACTCTGGAAGCATGAGGTAGCATTATATATTTTATTGATTGAATTTAGATAACACTTTATTTTCAGTGGTCTTTTTAGATGAAATAAACACTCAACAGACCCTCAGTAACACACCAACAATACATTAATGGTGTAGCAGCAGTGAATACATTCAGTAGATTATCAAGATACTTTTTATGAACTGTGTAAATAAAATTAGTTTACAGTTTTGAATTCAGTTGTTTTTTTACTTTATTTGGAGTGTCCAAGTTCATATCTGTAGATGTTTAACCTGAGAGGTCACTGAACATGTAACAGGTCTAATAGAGACCATCTCAACATCCTCAACAAGCTGTTATAGACCTGCTGCTGACACTATTCTGTAACTGGAGCTTAACTAGATTAGGTTTTGGTTAAGGTTAGGGTTAGGATTAGGGTCAGGGCTAGGTTTGGTTAGGTTAGGTTTTGCGTAATAGAAGTAACATATAAAGTCTACTTAATGTAACATTTCAACAGTACATCTACTTAATGTAAGTAATGTATCAACAGTACATCTTCAAGATATTTTCAAGATGTATTCAGATGCTTCACTATTGCTATTTCACTGATATGTCGTTGATGCGTTACTGATACTCTATTAAGAGTTTATGAATCATTTACATAAAGTGTTACCGAATTAATAACACCCAGTAAAAAGGTTACATATAGTACTGTAAAAGAGTTCGAGTCATAACGTAGTGGAACCCTTCTTGGTGCTATGTAGAACCATTTTTTAAAAGGGTTCTTTAAAGAACAACTGGTTTTCCATCATAGAGGAGAACTATTTGACCATAAAAAGAACCATTTACACATTTCAATGTTTTTGAATGTTCATGGTTTTATATAGAACCATTGCCTGTACTAAAGAACCCTTGAAGAACCATTTTAAAGGTGTACCATGTATCTGGATCTGTCTTAGTCTTTAGTACACAGAAAATGAGTACAAGCCTAAAAAGACCTTGAGCACTCTTGAGATAAAGATAATTGAACTGTACTATCATCTGTATCAGTATCTTCTAATATGAATTAATTGGGCTAACACTATTCAAATACCCTTCAGCTCTGTAGATCTAGTGACAAAATTAGCAAAATAGATCTCATGTGACTAAGTTAGCACAGTGTCTATAGTTCTGGAATTATAATCAGCATTATTATTGTGTAAAAGAAGTAAAGAAAACTGTTACTTACAAATATCACACCATTGAAGACACACATAATTACTTTCAGGATCCACATCTTGATGGTGTTTTGTTTTCCCCAGTTATTCCTGAAAGAGACCTACAGCTGGTATTCAAAACACACTGAAAGAAACTGAACTATGTCAAGTCCCCCTCGTGCAGTGCAGATACACACGAAGATCCAGCCACTTCCTCATAGACTTTTTTTATGCTGTCATGCAATGTAATGAAATGAATAATACAAACCATGACACAAAGATGCACATAAACGCACGTACACTTGTGTGTGTATGTATGTATGTATGTATGTATGTATGCATGCATATATATGAAAACATGCACCCATAAGCCCACCTCACAAGCAAATAGTAAAAAGTTACATCAGACAGTTCAGTATTTAAAGCTGAGTCATTGGCGACTGAGAAGTGGCTTGAGTGTTGTTTCCTTCCACAAACGTACCTCAAGCCTCTTCCGTCAACTTCTGAAAAAAGAATAACAGAAACATAAGTGTGTCAAGTCTGAGCGTTTCTCCCGTGGATTTTTTCACCAAAAGCACAAATTCAGCTTTACGTGTCAAGACAAACTTCAAAATGCCCTTAAGGCACAGTAGTAGGATGGCCAAGTCACAGACGTTTACACTGAGTTGCCTCTTTATTAGGCACACCTACTATACGTCCAAAAGGATCCCATCACTCCTGCTAATTAGTGAGTTCAGCTACTTTGAGGTGCACCATTACTAACACTGGTGTTCACACAGCTTGTATAATCTCCAGAGAAAAGCACTGCCAGTAGAATGGGATACTCTAGTGCAGCCACACATGCCAAGTGTCTGCTAGAGGGGTATAAAGCCCCTAGCATATAGTCTTCTCTGGAGTGTTGGAGCTCCATCCAAAATCTTTGGGATGAGCTGGAGTGATCCAGAACAAATCACCCAACGTCAGTACCTGACCTCATTAATGCTCGTGTGGCTAAATTCAATCAAATACTCACAGCAATGTTCCAACATCTCTATTGTAAAACCTTCCCAGAAGAGCAGAGGCTGTTACTGCAGCAAAGGGCGACAAATTACTTATTAATACCCTTGACTACAGAAGAAACTTTGGATGAGCAAGAGTCTGCAAGGTTCTTCTTGCAACTTTCTTGGGGATTAATAATGTTTCTGTGGATATTTTTAATTAGCTAATACATTGGGTCCGGTATTTTAGAGTGGGAAAAACACTTAAATGTGCTCCAGGACCAGGACTGAGAAATGATGATCTAATGGCTTAACACGCTAAAGCGATAGGTTCAAAATCCGGAAATCAGCGCCCCCTTGTGGTAATTTATTTTATATATTCCAGGATTTGCATAGTCCAGCTGGGTGGTTCATTTCCTTTTCCAAATGTGGCAAACAAAGTGCTTGGCAAAGGGGAGTACCAGTAATCATTAGCACAGTTTGCTAATTTTCTGGAGTCTGGTGAGAGGTCAAAGAACTAGGGGAGAGTTTGTTACTGAAGCCATAGTTGGGAAATGCAAGAAACTAGAAGGAAAGAAATCAAATGAAACTGACAGAAAAGAGGTGCAGAAACAGGTAGCCTTATTGTTGGGGCATTCCGGCCTAAACTGCTGTTTAATATGTAATTCATCATGTTGTGCAGTATTCTGTAGTGCAGTACGCCACCTCTCATCCCCATTGGTTAGGCAGAATTCATGATTTTGTCATTTTCATGTTTACTTCCATCTGTGTTCTTTCACTACAATACCCAGCATGCATTATGCAAATACATAACACAATCATTGAGAATACCTATGGCTCTTAACAAATTCTTACTACTGCCCCTGACCTGGAGGCTTATAAATACACTCTGTGAGCATAGCTAGCATTATTGATACAGCAACTCAAACTCAAAGTTTTTTCTTTGTTAAGGAATAATTCAGCCAGCTAGCAAATAAATAAATAAATGAAGAACAAGCATCCATACCAAGGCACTTATCTTCTCTACTATTTTCAACTTCCTGTCTTTAAACAGGAAATCTTACTTTAGAGACTGCTCCGTAAACTGATGTAAGTGGCATGTAAGCATGTTTACTACAGATGTAGCCATGGTTAAACTGAGCATTTTGGCCAGTGTGGTACGTAGTCTAGACCCTCTTTCTACTAAAGTAAATTGCCTGCAGCTGTTTAGAGATAATTCTGTCACTGCTAGTTCAAATTCAATCTCTTTGGCCTAGTAGACAAAAATGCAGTCATGACAAAAAAACAGACAAGCACCTTCAAAAATCTTTAATTTAACTTCACACGACACAAACATTTCCTTACAGTTCAATAGTGACATAAACAATACAAAATATGTGCAGTACATTCTATCACATGAAAAAGTCTAATCAAGAAAGTTTTACAAGAAAAGTAAAGCGCATTGCAAGTCTATCATGCAGTAATGCACTCCACTTAATCTTGCCTTGGGGTCTTTAAAATACATACAGAAAGACCTCCGGCAGAAATAACCTTATATTCTTCATTCTCTTCATTTACAAAAAGAAAAAAGTAATAATTCAGCTGTGTTGACCTAATCAACTTGAAAATGCAGTAGGTGGGTGATTTATTTTAACTTCCAGACTTCAAGACTTCCAGACTAAAACACTGTAAGACTCTGTAATGATGTACTGTAGCTATATAGCCCATCATTTCCAGTAATAGAACCGGTCAAGGCATTTTGCTTTCATCATTGGTTAATTCCAAAAAATGTACGTTTGGAATAAAGACCAGACTGGAGTCAAAACAGTGTGTGTTGGCACCATGTTAGCAACGTTATTTTAAATAAGGTACTTCATCAAACAGTGCTAGTGCTGCTAATGAGTTCTCATTTGCTCTCATTCATCAGTAGTCACATTGGAATGTTTGGGTGAAGCACCTCCAGCAGGTGGTGGTATCAGTGAACTGAAAAAGTAATGCATTGAGCTTATTTGATTCAAATGTGTACATCCACATATGTCTATGTATCAACACAGTCTTTACATTTATTTACATTTGGCAGCAACTGTGGTGATGTAGTATATTTTATTCATATGGAAGTGAGGGATGTGCACTTTTGAATCAAGTAAATTCAGTGCATTATTTTTTCAGTGTAGTACAGTGATGAAGTGCATAGGTCTTGGTGCAGTCCCAGCCTTTGAAGTTATTTTCCCACGTTTTTGTACAGGACCATAGAGACAACCATTGCAGCAATCTGGGAAATAAGAGAATAAGAGACAAAGCAGGAAGTGAGGATTAAAGAGGATTTTCGACAAGTAATAACACAGTTTTCATTTCAATGCTATATATACTATAAAGCAGGCATCTGGGATTTTTTTTTATATTGGGCAGTAAGTGTCAGTAATTCCACACCTGGGCACCAGAGGTCTCTCTCTCCTGAGTACTAGCCCTGCTTCCAGGATCAAGCCACCTGCACCTCTTTACTTCTCTAATTAGTCTCACCTTAAATACTCCCCTCCTGTGGGTCTGACTACTGAGTGGTTGTTTTGTAAGAAAATCTTGTTACTGTTTTACTGTATTTGTGTTTATATGCTTTAGTCTGATGTTACAATGTGGTGATTTTACAAGCAAAAATATGCTCTCTCCCTAAGACCTTTGCACATTTGGGCGCCCCTGGTCAAATTACATGCTTTGTTGAATTTAACAGCATTAACTACATTGGGAAAAAATACATAAATGCGTGTGGCCTGTTCAAAAGTTATGACACACTTAATATGTTACTTTTTATATTTTTCCCATATTTTAAACTCAGCAAATAAACAGAAATTGCGCATTAAAATGTGAAAAAAAACGTTTGTGGAGTGTGTAATCTTATTTTCACTTTCAAATTAACAAAACATGTCATTTGACCAGGTCAGTGCAAACTTTTGCAAACACCTGTATAGTCTGGGTGTGTATTGGTGATCTGAGGTCAAAGGTCAGAGTGTGATACCTCCAAAGCAGCGATGCCAATAGCCACTCCCCCCAGCACAGCAGCATTGTCCTCCAGCAGTTGCACAAGAGAATTGAAACAGCCTGGCACTCCCTGCAAAAAAATGGAGAACGTTTGTACAGGAGTGCCCAAACTTTTTGTCTTGGGAGGCCAAAATGAAATGTTTGTGACGGGCCGGGGACCAAAAAGACTAGAACAGTACACAAATAGTAGGTGGGGTATAACTCTAATTTTTTAAAATGTCATTTTATAACATTTCATTATATTTTGCTACTAAAAGTACTTAAAAGTACCATCTTTAAAGAAGTGATCTGGACATAAAGAGTAGGAAAATAAGTTTTTTTTTTCCATCACTGGATGAAGAGGTATGGAAATTAGGCAACTTTTGGATGGGCCAAGTAAAACATCATGGCACACCAACTTTAGCCCCACTTATCTATCTATACTGATACATATAACTATAGATCTTATTAAATTAATGCAACTGTTTGCAGTTTCACATATTTTTTTACACATATTCCAAATAATGTTAGTCCATTCATCATCAAACGTTCACACAAATCAGCTGGGCATTTTCAGATGTTGCCTAAAATAAAAGGAGGTTTTTACCCATTGTTAAGAGGTTTTAACATGACACTGACAGTTGTCTGTTTTCTATTTTGTTTTTTAAACCAGCAATATTCATTAAGATTATGACTGAGATTGTGATCAGGCCACTGGCAACTACTGTTCTGCACTGATTCTACACCTCTATCTCACCCCATTAAACTCAACATCTAACTCTTAATGATGATGAGTTGGGCACTGACTGCGGTCAGACTATGATAAGTCAGTAAGGCTGAATCAGAAGCGAGTACTAACTACTTATATTTACTTACTAACATGTATTTAAGTAAAACATTTGATGGATTTGTATATTCATTTGAATATGTTCAAATGATAATAATCTAATGATGAACTACTTTTTAACTGTTTCACTTTTCCACCACTGAGTTCCTGATCACATTTAGGTTTAAGTTCATTCTGTTCTGTCCTTTCATTTTGTACCAAAAGGACCCCAGAAAGAGAAGAACAGAGCCTAACAAACTTCAGTTCCTATGCTGATAGATGCCAGATGTACTAAGAAGTTCCAATTCCACTTAAAGAGGTTTAAGATCTCTTTTTCGCTCCTGTTCAGATTTTTATTTAGCTGCTGTTACTTCTGCTTGAGCCCTTTATTCATTTAAATAAGATCACTTTTATTGGTGTGTGAGTTTAGACTACTCTCCACATCTTTGGGCTGAATTCAGTACAGACAAGTTACACAGTGCAGTATTTTCAGGCATTTTGATTAAGATCTGACTGTAAAAGAGTACCTGGGCTTCTGCATTTCTCTCAATACACGTTCCATTTGAGCGGCAACAG